ATCACTGATAAACCTAGATGTAAAAATCCTCAACAAAATATTAACAAATTTAACAACACATTAAAAAGATAATTCACCATGATCAAGTGGGATTTATCCCAGGGATGCAAGTATGGTTCAACAAATGCAATCAACATGATATGCCACATTAATAGAATGAAGAGCAAAAACCATATGATAATCTCAATAGACATAGAAAAAAAAGCATTCAATAAAACTCGACATCCCTTTATAATAAAAACCCCCTCATGCAACTGGATCTAGAAGGAGCATATCTCAAAATAATGAAGGCCATGCTTGAGACACCCACAGCTAATACTCTACTGAACAGGAAAAAAGTCTTGATCCTCTAAGATGTGGAACAAGACAAGGATGCCCATTTTCACCACTCAACATAGTCCTGAAAGTCCTGGCTAGAGCAATTAAGCAAGACAAAGAAATAAAGGGCATCCAAACTGGGAAGGAAGAAGCCAATTATCCTTAAATACAGATGACATAATTTTATACTTTAAAAAAAACTAAAGACTCCATGAAAAAAAACTGTTAAAACTGATAAATTCAGTAAAGCTACAGAGTACTGAATCAACATACAAAAACCAGTAACTTTATATATCTCAAAAGCAAAAATCTGAAAAAGAAATTAAGAAACCAACCCAATTTATAATATCTACAAAATTATATAAAATACCTAGAAATCAACTGAACCAAGGAAGTGAAAGAGTTATACAAAGAAAACCATAAGACACTGATGAAAGAAATTAAAGAGGACACACACACAAAAAAGATATTCCATGTTCATGGATTGGAAGAAATGGTATCATTAAAATGGCAATACTGCACCAAGCAATTTACAGATTCAATGCAACTCCTATCAAAATACCAATGACACTCTTCACAGAAATAGAAAAAAACAATTCTAAAATTTACGTGGAAATACAAAAGCCCCCAAATAGCCAAAGACGTCCTCAGGAAAAAGAACAAAGCTGGAAGCATCCCACTTCCTGACTTCAAAATTTACTACAAAGCTATAGTAAGAAAATCAGCACGGTCCTAGCCAAAACAGGCACACAGATCAATGGAACAGAATAGAGAACCCACATATAAATGTATGCATTTACAGCCAGCTCATCTTCAACAAAGGTACTAAGAAGATACGGTGGGGAAAGGACAGTCTCTTCAATAAATGATGCTGGAAAAACGGGATAACTATATGCATAAGAATGAAACTGAGGGAGTGGGGTGGAGTTGAGATGGCTAACTAGAAACAACTGCAGTGGGAGGCTCCCACCAAGAACCAAAACAGCATGCAAATCCTACATCATTAACCAAGGTATACAGGTTCTATCATCAGGACTGACTAGGTGGTTGGTGTGACCCATGGAGAACAAAGAAAAGTAGAGTGGTGCCTCAGCCCACCTGGGAGCCACATGGGACAAAGGGAGCCCCCACCCCCAGCCAAGGGAGGCAGTGAGTAATCCTGCTACCCAGCCTGGGAAACCACGCCTCTTCATGGATCTGTGCAACCTGCAGATCAGGAGATCCCACTCGTGAGCCCAGGCCCTACCAGGGCCTTGGGTCCCAACCACAGAGCTGTGCAGATTCTCAACAGCCAATCAGCTGGAGTCTGCCTAAAACAACAGAGCTCCACAGGGAAGGGACGGCAGCCATCATGCAGCTGCGTAAAATGACTAAACTCCAGTGGGGGAAGTGGCTAGGGCGGGGGCCGGAGGGAGAAGGGCTGCAGCTATCACTGCAGCTGCAGACCACCATTTTTCCCCAGCTGGTGCTGGGGAAACTGGATGGCTTGGACCCAAGAGGTATTCCCCACAGCGCAGCACACCGACTGTGGCAGATCATAGCCAGATTGCCTCTTTAGGCCAGACCCTGACACATCCCTCCTCACTGGGCAGGACCTCCCTGCAGGAACTTCAGCAACTCTACCCAGGGCCTTAGGGACAGAATGGTGATCTCCCTGGGCCTGAGCCCCTAGGGGATGGGGTGGCCATGCTCTCCACGGACCAGCAGACTTCATCTTTCCTCCTGCTAGCTCTGAGGAATCTGAGCAGACCAGACGAGGGGGTTTCCCCCTAGCACAGCACACCCCCTCCACCAAGGGGCAGCCAGTGTGCTTTATTATGTGGGTCCTGGATCCCATGCCCCCCAACAGGAGTTGCCAGACAACTTATACGGAGCATTACTCTTGGCATCAGGTCAGTGCCCCTTGAGGACAGAGATCCCAGAGGAAGGAGCAGGCTCCCATCTTTGCTGTTCTCCAGCCTCCTTAGTTAACATCTCCAGGTGCGAAAGGGACCCAGGTGAATAGGGCCTGAAATGAAACTCTAGCAAACCACATCAGCCCTACAGAAGAGGGGCCTGTTAAAAGAAAAACAAACAGAAAGCAACAATAGCATCAACAAAAAAGTCTTCACAAAAACCTATCTAAAAGTCAGCAGCCTCAAAGATCGAAACTAGACAACTCATGAAGATGAGAAAGAATCAACAAGAAAATGCTGAAAACTTAAAAAGCCAGAGTGCCTCTTCTCCTCCAAATGATCACAACACCTCTCCAGCACACAGAAATGAGCAGAGGCTAAGATGGATGAATTGACAGAAGTAGGCTTCAGAAGGTGGGTAATAACAAACTTCATTGAACCAAAGGAGCATGTTCTAACCTAATGCAAAGAAACCAAGAACCATGATAAAAGGTTACAGGAGCTGTTAACTAGAATAACCAGTTTAGATAGGAACAATATGACCTGATGGACCTAAAAAACATAGCACGAGAACTTTGTGATAGAAGTATCAATAGCTGAATCAATGAAGCAGAAGAAAGAATATCAGAGCTTGAAGACTATCTTGCTGAAATAGAGCAGGAAGACAAGATTAGGGAAAAAAAGAATGAAAAGGAACAAACAAAACCTCTGAGAACTATGGGACTACATAAAAAGATCAAACCTATGATTGATTGGAGTACCTGAAAGAGTCAGAAAGAATGGAACCAAGTTGGAAAACATACTTCAGGATATCATCCAGGAGAACTTCTCCAACCTAGCAAAACAGGCCAACATTCAAATTCAGGAAATACAGATAACCCCAGGAAGATACTCCATGAGAAGTTCACCCCAAGAAACATAACCATCAGATTCTCCAAGGTCAAAATGAAGAAAAAAATGTTAAGGGCACCCAGAAGAAAAGGCCAGGTCACCTACAAAAGGAATCCCATGAGACTAACAGCAGACCTCTCAGCAAAAACCCTACAAGCCAGTAGAGAGTGTGGGCCAATATTCAACATTCTTAAAGAAAAGAATTTCCAACCCAGAATTTCATAGCCAGCCAAGCTAAGTTTCTAAGCAAAGGAGAAATAAAATATTTTTAAAACAAGCAAATGCTAAGGGAATTTGTCACTGCCAGGCCTACCTTGCAAGAGCTCCTGAAAAAAAGTACTAAATATGGAAAGGGAAAACCAGTACCAACCACTGCAAAAACACACTGAAGTGTAAAAACCAATGACACTTTGAAGAAATTGCATTAAGTAGTCTGCAAAATAAGCAGCTAGCATCATGATGACAGGATCAAATTCACACATAACAAATTTAACCTTAAATGTAAATAGACTAAATGCCCCAATTAAAACACACAGACTGGCAAATTGAATAGAGTCAAGACGAATTGGTGTGCTGTCTTCAAGAGACCCATCTCACATGCAAAGACACACATAGGCTCAAAATAAAGGGATGGAGGAATATTTAACAAGCAAATGGAAAGTGAAACAAAAGCAGGGGTTGCAATCCTACTTTCCGACAAAACAGACTTTAAACCAACAAAGATCAAAAAAGACAAGGGCAGTACATAATGGTAAAGGGATTAATTCAATGAGAAGAACTAATAATTCTAAATATATATGCACCCAATAAAGAAACACCCAGATTCATAAAACAAGTTCCTAGAGACCTAAAAAGAGACTATCACACAATAATAGTGGGAGACGTTAACACCCCACTGTCAATATTACACAGATCATTGAGACAGAATATTAACAAGGATATTCAAAACTTGAACTCAGCTCTGGATCAAGTGGACCTGATGGATATCTACAGAACTCACCACCCAAAGAAAACAGAATATACATTCTTCTCAGTACCACATGGCACATACTCTAAAATTGATTGCATAATTGGAAGTAAAACACTCCTCAGTGAATGCAAAAGAACTGAAATCATAACAGTCTCTCAGACCACAATGCAATCAACTTAGAATTCAAGATTAAGAAAGTGACTCAAAACCCCACAACTACATGGAAATTGAACAACCTGCTCCTGAATGACTCCTAGGTAAATAACGAAATTAAGAGAGAAATCAAGGAGTTCTTTGAAACCAATGAGAAAAAAGAGACAAAGTACCAGAATTTCTGGGATGCAGCTAAAGCAGTGCTAAAAGGGAAATTTATAGCACTAAATGCCCACATCAGAAAGCAAGAAAGATCTCAATTTGACACCCTAACATCACTACTAAAAGATATAGAGAGGTAGGAGCAAACAAATCGAAAAGCTAGCAAAAGACAAGAAATAACTAAGATCAGAGTGGAACTGAAGGAGATAGAGACATGAAAAAACCCTTCAAAAAAATCAATGACTCCAGGAGCTGGTTTTTTGAAAAAAATTAATAAAATACATAGACCATGAGCAACCCGCCTGGGTCCCCTTCCACACTGTGGAAGCTTTGTTCTTTGACTCTTCACAATAAATCTTGCTGCTGCTCTCTTTCAGCCCCCTCCCCCCCACCACCCCCACTGTAACACTCACAACAAAGGTCCGCGGCTTCATTCTTGAAATCAGCGAGACCATGAACCCACCTGAAGGAAGAAACTCCGGACACATCTGAAGGAACAAACTCTGAACACACCATCTTTAAGAGCTGTAACACTCACCGCCAAGGTCCACGGCTTCATTCTTGAAGTCAGCGAGACCAAGAACCTACCAGAAGCAACCAATTCTGGACACAGCAAGACATGAGACCTCTACCTACTCACTCAGAATCATTTCTGCACCAACCATGGCCACCTTCGTAGAGCTCAGTACCAAAGCCGAGATGCCCACTGTGGGCCTGGGCACTTAGAAGTCTCCTCTCAGCAAAATGAAAGAAGTGGTGAAGGTGGCCATTGATGCAGGATATCGCCACATTGACTGTGCCTATGTCAAACAGAATGAACATGAGGTGGGGGAAGTCATCCAAGAGAAGGCTGTGAAGTGGGAAGACCTCTTCATCATCAACAAGTTGTGGTCCACTTTCTTTGAGAGACCCCTTGTGAGGAAGGCCTATGAGAAGACCCTCAAGGACCTGAAGCTTAGCTATCTGGATGTCTATCTTATTCACTAGCCACAGGGATTCAAGTCTGGGGATGACTTTTTCCCAAAAGATGATAAAGGTAATATGATCAGTGGAAAAGCAATGTTCTTGGACGCCTGGGAGGCCGTGGAGGAGCTGATGGACGAGGGGCTGGCAAAAGCCTTTGGGGTCTCCAATTTCAACCACTTCCAGATAGAAAGGCTCTTGAACAAACCTGGACTGAAATATAAACCAGTGACTAACAGGCTGAGTGTCACCCATACCTCATGCAGGAGAAACTGATCCAGTATTGCCACTCCAAGGGCATCACCATTATGGCCTACAGCCCCTTAGGCTCTCCAGACAGATCTTGGGCCAAGCCAGAGGACCCTTCCCTGCTGGAGAACCCCAAGATTAAGGAGATTGCTGCAAAGCACAAAAAACTGCAGCCTGGGTTCTGATCTGTTTCCATATCTAGAGGAATGTGATTATGATCCCCAAGTCTGTGACACCAGCACGCATTGTTGAAAACATTCAGGTCTTTGACTTTAAATTGAATGATGAGGAGATGGCAACCATACTCAGCTTCAACAGAAACTGGAAGGCCTGTAACATGTTGCAATCCTCTCATTTGGAGGACTATCCCTTTGATGCAGAATACTGAGGTTGAATCTCCTGGTGAGATTACACAGGGGATTCTCTTTCTTCGCTGAAGTGTGACTATCTCCACTCAAGTCCTATTTTAGCCAAGCTTATCTGAGATCACAGGAAACTTCGTTCTATTGTAGGCCAGAATCAAGGTGCTGTTTTAGACATTTATTTCTGCATGTTCAACTAGGATCAGAATATCACAGAAAAGCATGACTTGAATAAGCAAATGACAATTTTTTCCACATATCTGGTCTGAACAAATGTTTGTTAAGCACCAGAAACTCTGCCAACACTGAGGATGTAAAGATAAATAATAAAAAATAATGATGGTAAAAAAAAATAGACCATTAGCTAGACTAATAAAGAGGAAAAGAGAGAAGAATCACATAGACACAATAAAAAACGATAAAGGAGATATCACCAATGATCCCATAGAAATACAACCAACCATCAGAAAATACTATAAACACCTCTATGCAAATAAAGTAGAAAATCTGGGAGAAATTGATAAATTCCTGGACACATACACCATCTCAAGACTAAACTAAGAAGAATTTGAATCCCTGAATAGACCAATACCAAGTTCTGAAACTGAGGCAGTAATAAATAGCTACCAACCAAAAAAAAAAAAAAAAAAGCCCAGGACCAGACGGATTTATAGCCAAATTCTACCACAGGTACAAAGAGGAATGGGTACCATTCATTCTGAAATTAATTCAAACAACTGAAAAGGAGGGACTTTTCTTTCATTCATTTTATGAGGCCAGCATCATCCTAATACCAAAACCTGGCACAGATATAACAGAAAAAGAAAACTTCAGGCCAATATCCCTGATGAACATTGACGCAAAAGTCCTCAGTAAAATACTGACAAACCAAATCCAGCAGCATCAAAAAGGTTATCCACCATGATCAAGTCAGCTTTATCCCTGGGATGCAAGCATGGTTCAACATACACAAATCAATAAATGTAATTCATCACATAAACAGAACTAAAGACAAAAGCCACACAATTATCTCAACAGATGCAGAAAAGGCCTTTGATAAAATTTAACATCCCTTCATGTTAACAACTCTCAATAAACTAGGTATTGATGGAACACATCTCAAAATATTAAGAGCCATTTCTGACAAACCCACAGCCAATATCATACTAAATGGGCAAAAGCTGGAAGCATTCTCCTTGGAATCTGGCACAAGACAAGGAAGCCCTCTCTCCTTCTCACCACTCCTATTCAACATAGAATGGAAGTTCTGGCCAGGGCAATCAGGCAAGAGAAGGAAAGAAAGGGTATTCAGACAGGAAGAAAGGAAGTCAAACTGTCTCTGCAGAAAACATGATCCTATATTTAGAAAATCCCATTGTCTCAGTCCAAAAGCTCCTTAAGCTGATAAGCAACTTCTGCAAACTCTCAGGATACAAAATCAATGTGCAAAAATCACAAGCATTCCTATACACCAACAATAGACAAACAGACAGCCAAATTATGAATGAACTCCCTTTCACAACTGCTGCAAATAAAATATTTAGGAATACCGATAAAAAGGGATGTAAAGGATCTCTTAAAGGAGAACTACAAACCACTGCTCAAGGAAATAAGGACACAAACAAATGGAAAAACATTCCATGGTCATGGATAGGGAGAATCACTATCGTGAAAATGGCCATATTGCCCAAAGTAATTTATAGAATAAATGCTATTTCCATTAAACTACCATTGCCGTTTTTCACAAAATTAGAAAAAACTACTTTAAAATTCTTATGGAACCAAAAGAGACCCGTTATAGACAAGACAATCCTAAGCAAAGAGAACAAAGCTGGAGGCATCATGTTACCCAACTTCAAACTATACTACAAGGCAACAGTAACCAAAACAGCATGGAATTGGAACCAAAACAGATACACAGACCAATGGAACAGAACAGAGATCTCAGAAATAAGGCCACACATCTACAATCATCTGACATTTAACAAACCTGATAAAAACAAGCAATGGGGAAAGGATTCCCTATTTAATAAATGGTGCTGGGAAAACTGGCTAGCCACATGCAGAAAATTAAAACTGGACCCCTTCTTTACAATTCATACAAAAATTAACTAAAGATGGATTAAAGACTTAAATGTAAAACCAAAAACTACAAAAACCCTAGAAAAAAATCTAGGCAATACCATTCAGGACATAAACAAAGATTTCATGACAAAACATCAAAAGCAATTGCAACAAAAGCAAACTTAGACAAACAGGACCTAATTAAACGAAAGAGCTTCTGCACAGCAAAAGGAACTATCATCACAGTGAAAAGACAACCTATGGAATGGGAGAAAATGTTCACAATCTATCCCTCTGACAAAGGTCTAATATCCAGAATCTACAAGGAACTTAAACAAATTTACAAGAAAACAATGAACAACTCCATCAAAAAATGGGCAAAAGATATGAACAGACATTTCTCAAAAGAAGATATTTATGTGGCCAAGAAACATATGATAAAAAGCTCAACATTACTGATCATTAGAGAAATGCAAATCAAAACCACAATGAGATACCATCTCATGAGTCAGAATGGCGATTATTAAAAAGTCAAGAAACAACAGATGCTGGCAAGGCTGTGGAGGAACAGGACTGCTTTTACATTGTTGGTGAGAATGTAAATTAGTTCAACAATTGCAGAAGACAGTGTGGCGATTCCTCAGGGATCTAGAACCAGAAATACAATTTAACCCAGCAATCCCATTACTAGGTATATACCCAAAGGAATATAAATCATTCTATTATAAATATACACGCACACATATGTTTATTGCGGCACTATTCACAGTAGCAAAGACATGGAAACAACCCAACTGTCCATCAGTGATGGACTGGATAAAGAAAATGTGGTACATATACACCACGGAATGCTCTGCAGCCATAAAAAGGAACAAGATCATGACCTTTGCAGGGACATGGATGGAGCTAGAAGCCATTATTGTCAGCAAACTAACACAGGAACAGAAAACCAAACACCGCATGTTCTCACTTACAAGTGGGAGCTGAATAATGAGAACACCTGGACACAGGGAGGGAAACAACACACACTGGAGCCTGTTATGGGGGCATAGGGAGGGAGAGCATCAGGATAAACAGCTAATGCATTTGGGGCTTAATACCTAGGTGATGGGTTGTTAGGTACAGCAAACCACCATGGCACATGTTTACCTATGTAACAAACCTGCACATCATGCAAATGTATCTCAGAACTTAAAATAAAATTTTTAAAAAGAAGGAATGATACTAGACCCCATCTCTCACCATACACAAAAATCAAGTCAAAATGGATAAAAGACTTAAGTCTAAGACCTGAAACTCTGAAACTAGTATTAATAGAAGAAAACATTGGGGAAATGCTCCAGGACATTGGTCTGGGCAAGATTTTCTGTGTAAGACCTCAAAAGCACAGGCAACCAAAGCAAAAATAGACAACTGGGATTTTATCAAGATAAAAGTCTTCTGTACAGCAGAGGAAACAATCAACAAAGTGCAAAAACAACCCACAGAATGGGGGAAAAGATCCTCAAACTACCCATCTGACAAAGGATTAATAACCAGAGTATATAAGGAGCTCAAACAACTCAATGGAGAAGAAATAATAATCTGATCAGAAAGTGGGCAAAAGAGCTGAACAGACATTTCTCAAAAGAATACATACATGGCTGGACACGGTGTCTCAAGCCTGTAATCTCAGCACTTAGGGAGGCTGACGTGGGAGGAGCAACTGAGGACAGAAATTTGAGACCAGCCTGGACAATATAGCAAGACTCTATGTCTAAAAAAAAAAAAAAAAATTAAATTACCCATGCCTGTAGTAGTCCTAGCTACTTAGGAGACTGAGGCAAGAGGATCACTTGAGCCCAAGTGTTCAAGGTTGCAGTGACCTGTGATCACTCCACTGTACTCCAGCCTGGGTGACAGGGTGAGACCTTATCTTTTAAAAAAAAAAAAAAAGATGATGATAACATACAAATAGCAATGAGTATACGAAAAAATGCTCAATGTCACTAACCATCAGAGAAATGCATATCAAAACTACAATGAGATAACATCTCACCCCAGTTTAAATGGTTCTTATAAAAAAGACAAGCAATAACTGATGCTGGCAACGATGTAAAGAAAGGGAAACCATTATACGCAGTTGGCAAGAATGTAAATTAGTACAGCCACTACAGAAAACAGCATGGAGGTTCCTCAAAAGACTAAAAATAGAACTACCATATGATCAAGCAATTCCACTACTGGGTATACATCCAAAAGAAAGAAAATTGGCAGGGCATGACAGCTCATGCCTGTAATCCCAGCACTTTGGGAGGCTGAGGCAGATGTGTCAGGAGTTTGAGACCAGCCTGGCCAACATGGTGAAACCCCGTCTCTACTAAAAATACAAAAATTAGCCAGGTATGGTGGCACACACCTGTGATTCCAGTTACTCATGAGGCTGAGTCAGGAGAATCACTTGAACCCAGGAGGCAGAGGTTGCAGCGAGCCAAGATCACACCATTGCACTCCAGCCTGGGCAACAAGAGAGACTCTCTGTCTCAAAAAAAAAAAAAAGAAAGAGGGAAGGAGGGAGGGAGGGAGGGAGGAAGGAAATCAGTATGTCAAAAAGATATATGAACTCCCATGTTTATTTAAGCACTATTCATGATAGTCAAAATATGGAATTAATCTAAATGCACATCAGTGGAAGAATGGATAAAGAAAAAGTGGTATAAATATTATTCAGCCATAAAAAAGAATGAAATCCTGTCACTTGCAGCAACATGTATGGAATTGAAGTTCATCACCTTAGTTGAAATAAGCCAAGCACAGAAAGACAAATATTGCATGTTCTCACTCATATGTGAGAGGTGAAACAGTGGATCTTATGAAAATAGAGAGAAGACTGGTGGTTACAAGATGCCAGGCAGGGTGGGGGGAACAGAAAGATGAAACGAAATTGATTAACCAGATACATATTTATACCTATTCAATAGTTTAATAGAAGAAATAAATCCTAGTTTTTAGATAGATCAGTAGGGTGTTTATAGTCTACAGCAGTCTATTGTACATTTCAAAAAAGCTAAAAGAGAATAATTCAAATGTTTCTAGTATAAAAAAGACAAATATTTAAGGTGATAGATATCCTAACTACAACGATTTAGTATTTACAAATCATGTATTAAATTATCATATGTACCTCAAAACAATGTACATTATGCATCAATAAAAATTAATTTTTAAAAGGCAAGTAACAATATTTTCAAAACACTAAAAAATAAAGAAATGAAGTAGCAATACATGCTGTAACATGGAAAA